TGCACTGTGTCGGGCGCCCCGCGGGCAGCCCCAAACCCGTGGCCGCTGCAGGCAGGTCAGCGCTAAGGATTTCTGCCTGTTGCACGTGCATCAGAGGCTGGTTTTCAATTATACACGAAGCGTCAGCCCCGCAGGAGCCCGGGGCACTGAGTGCAGCCGCTGGCGAGGGCAGCTACCTGCCGTCTCACCTGTATAGGGCAGGAGGCAGTTGCACTTGTAGCCAGCGACGTCATCAATGCACGTCCCCTGATTCAGACACGGGTTGGAAGCGCATTCGTTGATATTGGTCTGGCAGTTAGGTCCTGTGTTTAAAAAAAAAAAATACACAAAGGTGTGGAAGACCGACTCTGCTGGAGGTGTTGTCCTGGGAGGGGGACGAGGGTACGCTGGGGACGCGGCGACGACAGCAGCAGCCCACCCATCGCCCCTGAGGCGCCTTCCACTCTTAGCTCAAGCTGTGGGAGCCTGTACTCTGTTGTAGGACCCTACGATGATTTGCATTACCACCCCTCCCATCAAGACCAGGCGTCTCTTATCTACACCGTGAAGCCTCCAGTACATCCAGCATCATGGGGATGTCCACCCAAAGCTCCCACCTCGGCCACTCCATGGAAAGGATGGCACAGCATCCTTGGCTTTGTCCTTACCACTGAACCCTTCCCTGCAGGTACAGATGTAGCCACTGGTCATGTCCTTGCAGGTGCCACCATTCATGCAGGGATTGGATTCACACTCATTATTGTTAATGTCACAGTTCGTCCCACTCCAGCCTGGGTCGCAATCACACCTGTAGCTTTGGGGAAAATTTAGAGCATAAGGCGCAGGGATCTGGTCTGACCTTGCTCCCACAGCACCATCAGCCTTCATGTAATTACTGCAGCAAACTACAAGCCCCTAATTGTGTTTATATAGTGAAACACCCTCCAGGACTAGCACAGAGCATGGCATAGCACGAGCACTGCGGAGGGATGCTTGTCCTGTACCTAACCCACCGCAAGCCCCAATTTCCTGGGGCTACCCTTGGATCCAAGCAGCCTCCACGCACAGCAGCACGCCGGCCCTCCAGCCTACCCGTTGAGCCCGTCGTGGCACTTCCCGTGGATGCAGGGGTTGCTGTTGCACTCGTTCACTTCGGATAGGCACTTGGGGTCGTGGAAGCCCTCGGGGCAGAGGCACGTGAAGCCGTTGATGCCGTCCTTGCACGTGCCCCCATTGTGGCAAGGGTTGCTGGAGCACTCGTCAATGTTGATGTTGCACATCCGCCCTGGGAAAGGGAAGAGCGATGAAACACAACCTTGTACGACACACAGCGCCGCAGGTGCGTGCGGCCTCCCAGGGGACACAGACAGGGCAAATCCCCCTCCGACCGCAGTGGCAACGAGGCTGGCAGAGGCGCGAGTCTCCCGCGGGGACATGTGCCAGCCTGGCCGGCCCTCGGTGTAAGGG